GTGCGACGCATGCATGCTCCGAACCGAGACAAGCGAACCGAACGGTTCGGTTTTTTTTCATGAACCGTGCCATCCCTATTCTGTACTGTGGTGCTCCTAGGACTGATGAATCCTTTCGGAATCAAAGTGATGCACAACATCACAAGTATGCGAGTATACTTCTCGATCTAGATATTGACATGGTGCAACAGTTCCCTATTGATCCTATGCACTCAGTAGACCTTGGAGTAATGAAGAAACTCATGATGACATGGAAAGAAGGCCCCTTGCCCTTACGACTATCAGCAGGGCAGATCAACAGTTTAACTACATACAATTGCTCTCTGAAATTGTACATTCCCTCCAACTTCAATAGGAAGCCCAGAGGTCTCAATGACCTGAAACTGTGGAAGGCGACAGAATTCAGGACTTTCCTTTTGTACTGCGGTCCAGTGATCCTAAAATATGTTCTGCCCAAAGAAAAATATCTGCACTTTCTGAGTCTCAGTATCGCTCTACGCATACTGTACAATCCAACCTATGTTGCCTTGCACAAAGATTATGCTCACGCACTTCTGTCATGTTTCGTGGAAAACGCAAGGATACTGTACACTGACCATTTGATAACCTACAATTTCCATACCTTGAACCATTTGGCTGACCTTGCACAGATGTATGGTTCTCTTGATTGTATTACAGCCTATCCTTTTGAAAACAATATGGCAAAAGTAAAACGAATTATTCGTGGAACATCAAAACCTCTTGTTCAAGTGGCACGCAGATTATCCGAGATTGGCCAAAGTAAGCAGGCATCATGTACCATGAATCAAAATCTGCCCAGAAAAGACGAATGCTACCAGCTGAAGAATGGAAAGTTTTGTACAATTATTGCTGTACAAGCTCATGAAAGCAAAGTATTATGTGAAGTCTACACGAGGTTGGAGAGTTTCTTTTCATCACCGTGTGACTCTCGCATTGTGGGAATACAGAAAGTTGCAAAGCAGTACTCTGACATGACATACGTCAGCTTTAGTGACTTGAAAGCAAAAGCCATCTGCATACCGCTTTCACTATTTGATAATCATCTTTCCACATCTGCAGTAATCCTGTCACTTGTACACACTATGTAATTTGATGTAAACATGTTGTACTGAATTAAGATTAAGCAAATATGCATGAAGTACAGGTATTTCAAATATTATAGGTTAATTGTCATTTAACTGTTCTATATTGTGTTTACAGTTCTGTGTTTGCGAACTTAATACTGGAGAGACAGTCGTTGTGCCGCGGCCCTGGCTGTTTCTTGAGGGTAGTAGGTGGAGATGCCGGTGGACTTCATCCTTGAATAAGACCAGGACATACGCCATTGCCAATCCAAAATGGAAAGATTACGGAATAGAAAAAATTTGGGCAAAAAAAGGTAATTGTGTATTATTGAGTAATGCACTCAGTCTTAAAGGTTGATTGTGAATCATATCTTAACCACATATGTCTATATTTTTAGATACGTATGAAGAAGCAGAGCTCTTCCTTGCTGAATTATCTGGTTTATCAGACTCTGCATTGGCTGAAGCAGGATTGAACCCCATGCAAATTACAGATGTAGAGTCTGGTACTTCTCATTCACTACCACCAAAGAGAATGAGGAAAAGAAAGATCTTATTTGATGAGGATGAGCTTGACAGTGCTGATGATGATGGTAAGCTTACTGGTGTTAATTCATTACATATATATTATGGATATTCAAGATATGTGTACAAAATAATGTTAATTTCAATTATTTTTAGAACCTATTTCCAAAAACAATGGTCAAAAGAACAGACTGAGGCCACTTCCCTCTTTATTATCTGCTGATGTCAATGAAACGGTCTTGCAGCAAAATATACAAAATGTATGTGTTGAGAAAAATACGTGGCATCCTTTTTTTTTTACCAATTTATAGATAACCTTAATAAAAAAGACAGAACAGAGAGAACTCCAAAGGCATCATCCCTAGCACTTAAGCCATTGCCTACTCCCACTCCATACAATGACAGTACAGAAGGTAATGTTCTGTATTACACTTAAAATGTTATTGCAAAGGTAAACACTTTGATGTTGGACTATAACATTTCAATAATATTTTTTATTATGTCATTCTAAAGCAGGGGTGGGGAACCTGTTTCATGGAGGGCCGGTGTGGGTGCGGGTTTTTGGAATGGCCTCTCAATCAGCCAATAATAAAGCAGTGGTTCTCAACTCCAGTCCTGGGGACCCACTGTCATTGGCTGATTGAGAGGCCATCCCAAAAACCTGCTCCCACACCAGCCCTCCATGGATCAGGTTCCCCACCCCTGTTCTAAAGAGACAACCTCATCAACACCCATTGCAAGCACAGTGCTGCCTACACCACCGGCACACTGTAGAGAGATTTTAAAAGGTGAATGTAAAACATTTTGATTTTCTTATACTGCATTGTACTGTCTTCTGTCACTTACAGAATCATTGTTACATCAATTTAATTCTACAGAATCTCCCCCATCAACATCAGCCAGACCCTACCCACTGACTCCCCCTTGTGCATATTCTCCAGGTGGTTACTATCGTAATTTTATATTTCTCTTTGGTAAAATGTGTTACGTTCAGAAATCATTACTGTAAAATATGATGCTTTTGGCATACTGCAGCTAAATACTCCACTGGACAATTGTAGTCACATTCCTGGGTTACTCAGGGGAAGGCATTGCTACTAGTATTTCAGATTATTGAATAACAATGTTTATTTAATATGGTAATTAAGATTTCAAGGATATGCAGCTGTTCTGTGCTTCTTAGCTGTTTAGAAAATTTATGCAGACATTTCAAATATTGCATTACATATTGAGAAATGTATCAAAATTATCATGTTAGG